AGTCGAAGGAGATGAAATAATTGTTGTCGTTATTTCTCAAGTGAACATTGCTGCTAATGTCAAAGAGTGGGTTGTAGACTCTAGGGCTACTCGACACATTTGTTAAATCAAGAAGCATTTTCCTCCTATACTTCTGTAGGAAATGATGAAGAGGTTGTCTACTTGGAAGACTCACGGCCTGCAAAGGTTTTTGGTAAAGGATAGGTTGTCCTGAAGCACACTTCAGGAAAAACTTTAGCCCTTAACAATGTGCTGCATGTTCCAAACATTAGAGCAAATTTGGTTTCTGTTGCCTTACTGGGGAAAGCTGGGATAAAAGTGTTATTTGAATCTGAAAAGATTGTTATGACCAAGAATAATGTGTTCGTGGGGAAAGGCTCTTGTAACCAAGGACTCTTTGTCCTCAACATTTTCAATGTGATTAATGAAAATGCTTCTGGTTCTGGTTATATTGTTGATTCTGTTTCTTTATGGCATGCTATATTAGGACACATTAATATTGGTTACATAAAGAAAATGCAATCACTTGGCTTAATTTCTGGTATTAATTTTACTAATATGGATAAATGTGAAATATGTGTTGAAACTAAAATCACTAAGAAAACTTGTAAAAGTGTTACTCGAGAAACTGAATTATTAAGTCTAATTCATACAGACTTAGGGGATTTAACACAAACTATGACTAGAGGAGGTAAAAGATATCATGTCACTTTCATAGATGACTATTCTAGGTATACTAGACTTTATTTACTTCGAAATAAAGATGATGCTTATAATGCATTTATACTTTATAAAACTAAAGTAGAAAATCAGCTTAATAGAAAAATAAAAAGAGTTAGGTCTGATAGAGGAGGTGAATATTTTGCTTTAAATGAACTTTACGAAAAAGAAGGTATAATTCATGAAATAACGCCTCCTTATTCACCTGAATCAAATGGAGTAGCTGAAAGGAAAAATAGAACACTAAAAGAAATGATGAACTCTATGTTAGTAAGCTCTCAAGCGCCTGATAATTTATGGGGTGAAGCTATACTATCGGCATGTCACTTATAAAATAGAATTCTTCATAAAAAGACAGGCAAAACACCTTATAAATTGTGGAAAGATTATAAACCTAATTTAAAATATTTAAAAGTTTGGGGGTGCCTTGCTAAAGTATTACTACCAGACCCTAAGAAAAGGAAAATTGGTAGTAGAATTTCTGATTGTATGCTTATTGGATATGCTGAACATAGTGCTGCATATAGATTTCTTGTTTTGAAAAGTGATGTGCTTGATTGTAATACTATTATCGAAACAAAGAATGCTGAGTTCTTTGAACATATTTATCCACTGTCAAATAAAAATTCTCATGCCCCTATTGAATGTGATAAAGAAATTCCCGTTGAGGAGGAATTTAGAAGGAGCAAAAGGCAAAGAAAACTCTTTTCTTTTGGAAACGATTTTCAAACTTTTCTAGTTGATAATGAACCTTCAAATTATAATGAAGCAATAAACTCTTCTGATTCAAAGTTATGAAAGAAGTTATTCGAAGTGAAATTAATTCCATTGTGAAAAACAAAACTTGGAGTTTGGTAGATTTACCACCTGGTGCAAAACCAAACGGTTGCAAATGGATTTTTAAAAGAAAATTCAATCCTGATGGATCTATTGATAAATATAAAGCTCGTCTAGTTGTAAAAGGTTTTTCACAAAAATAAAATATTAATTATTTTGATACATTTGCGCCTGTGACTAGAATTTCTTCTATTTGAGTACTATTTGCTTTAGCTTCTATTCATAAACTTCTTATACATTAAATGGATGTAAAAACAGTATTTTTGAATGGTGACTTAGAAGAAGAAATTTTAATAGTTCAACCTGAAAGATGTGTTATTTTTGGAAAAGAAAATAAAGTTTGTAAATTAGTAAAATCTCTTTATGGCCTTAAACAAGTTCCAAAACAATGTCATGAGAAATTTGATCAAGCCTTGAGAGGAGATGAACTGGAGAAGTGGACAAATGTGTCTATACTAAAAGCATCAATGGTGAATATGTGATTCTATGCTTATATGTTGATGATATGCTTATCTTTGGTACTAGTTTACATGTTATAGATAGTACTAAACATTTTCAATCATCTAATTTTGATATGAAAGATTTGGGTGAAGCAAAAATGATATTGGGTGTTAAAGTTATAAGGAGAAGCGATGGTATAATGTTGTCACAAGAACATTATGTTGAGAGACTTGTTAAGAAGTTTGAAAACTTTGATGTGACACCGGTGAGCACTCCTTATGACGCTAACACTCAATTGAAAAAACATCGTGGTAACCCAGTTGCTCAGTCTATATATGCTCAGATTATTGGGAGTCTGATGCATTTGATGAATTTCACACGGCCTGATATAGCATATGCTGTATGTAGACTGAGTAGATATACTCATAATCCCAATCATGAGCATTAGTTTGCAATTGTTAGACTGATGAAATACCTGAGAGGAACCATGAACTATGGTATCCTATATAGTGGATTTCCCACTGCATTAGAAGGGTATAGTGATGCTAACTGGATCTCTGATTCAGATGAGAGAAAATCTACTAGTAGTTTTGTGTTCACCCTTGGCGGTGGTGCTATAGCATATCATCAAGACATACGATTTATGCTAAATCAACTATGGAATCAGAATTTGTAGCTCTTGAGCTAGCTGGTTCTGAGGTTGATTGGCTGAGAAATCTCCTCGCTGGTATTCCTTTATATAAGGATACCATGTCTCCTGTCTCTATGCATTGTGATTGTGAAGCGGCAATTAATACTGCTGAAAAGAAATCTTATAATAGTAGAAATCGACACATGAAATTGAGACATGATGTCGTAAAACAGCCGTTGAAGGATGGAATTATTTCCATTGATTATGTGAAGTCAGAAATGAATTTGGCCGATCCTCTGACTAAACCTTTGGGAAGAAAATTAATTCTTCAAACCTCAAAGGAAATGGGACTTAGACCAACTGACTGTCAATAAAGATGGTAACCCAACCTATGTGATTGGAGATCCCATGAAGTAGGTTCATATGGGTAATAACAAGTTAATATTGACACTGAAGTGCTTTTAGTTAAAACTCTATTGTGATGGGTGCTTAAACTGCTATCTATTGTGAGGTTGAGTTAAACTCTTAATGAATTCATATCTCTTACGAGTAGTGTATCTAAAGCAGTGTACACTTGAGAATTCACCTATATGAGAGTGGAGTGGGGCCGCTCCTATAAGATCTTATGGTCGGATCTTTAGAGCTCTAATGAGTAACTAGACACGCGCATGGCCTATTGGCGCGAAACCGCGTGAACAGCAAAATATGGGTTCGCATTGTGGTTAATAAAACCTCTGTCCTACAAATGGAATTCTTGGTTCATAGAAATTTTAATTTCACCAATTATTCTGTAAGTCATGTTTTATTAATCTAAGTTTGATTTATAGTCCAAAAGACTCCAGACTGATTGCAGTGCACCCAAACATATCCTGCAATTTTTTGTATGTTTTATTCTTATAGTTTTAAAATCTTTTGAAATATGTGGGGGATTGTTGATTATTTCAAAAAGATTTTTATTGTTACTAAGTTAATTAGTAAAAATGTGTTGTAGAATTGACTTGGTTCATCTCACATTTTTTTGGATAAAACCCAAAATGCCAAGTCAAAGTGGAATAATGAGTCTTGGTAGTATGTTCCTGCCCACTAAAAGTCTTAATCTTATCAAATGGAGAATCTTATTTCTGATATTTTGGAGACAACAACAGGACATTTTGGCACTATAAATAGATGCCAAATTTGAGTGAGAAAAAAGGCACCAAACGTTTTCTCTTTTCTCTAATCTTTCTTTCCCTCATTTTCTTTTCCCTTTCGGTCATTCAAGGCTTAAAGCCCATTTTCTTCATTCAACACCAAAAAGCTTTGATTTTCTTTGTTTACTGATTTCGGCACATTAAATACAAAAGTCTTGAGCTGTTTTAGCACAATTTTCTTTGGTCTTTAAAATATAGAGTTTTCTTTTTATTATTCTTTATTGCTGGATTACTAATTTTTTAGCTGTTCTAATTTCCTCTATCATTTGAGGAAGGCTTGGTTAATCCTGAATAGACATTTCAATTCCATTAGAATAGTTTCTTAAAGACAGTGCTTTTTAGCGCGACTCAAATATTACTTTATTTAATTCTTTATTAGCATTTGTCCTACATTTTTTCAACAATTCTTAGACTTACAAAATGGTCTCACTAGTTAATAAAGATAGAAGTTCACTCTATTTTATCATTCTTTTATTCTTAAATGCTGACTCCACCACTTTCTCTATAGGAAACTAATTCTTTCAGAAGAATACCGCAAGAGGGAGTCATGGAGCATTGTGGTTGAAGGCAAAGCTTGCATCCAGCTTTTCGGGGCATGCAATTTTACATTAGTCGTAGGTATTCTCGAAAATAACTGCTGCACAAGAGGTGTGAATCTGGGAAATGCTGCGTCGACGGAGGCGAGGAATGCTCGGAGACCCGCGAATGCTGTGATAAGAATGATCAATGCGTGGCAGACGAGGAAGAAGGACCTACTCGCTGCCTTCCCCTCCCGGCCCCTCCCCCCGGTAATTAACTAGGATCCATCGTGCTTTCGATCCGAAATGATTATTCAAGATTTTTCGGTGATATTTTTATGTTGATAGGTATCATTATCATTTGAAAAGGTTACATGTTTCTATTGTTCTGTCCGAGTCGGTTTACGATTCCCCAACTCTTTGGAATGTTCGGTTCAATTGAATTTTTTTCTCTTTTAATATACCAGTTTTCAAAATCATTATTCCCACTGATCCAGATTCAAGCCTGGTAGCTAGGTTTCTTTCGGGAGGTAAAACTCTTCTAACAAGTATTTTAATCACTGATGTATATTGAGCTTTTAAACTCTGAGGTTGTTATGCATGAATAAAAAATCAAGAAATAATCGGAAAAAAAAACGACTGCTCATAGTTTTTTTTTTTTTTCCATAGACATTTATCAAAAGTCAACCCCTTGTTAAATTAAGACAAAACTTCGCGCAATAAAAACCGATCGCCACCAAGCTCACTGATATCATCGTACCAGCAAACATCATCAACTAGAATACCCCCAGATCGATAAGACCATAAACCAAAAGAAAATACACCAAAAAGAAAAAACAAAAAACAAAAACAAAGTCTGAACGCGAAATTACACCGAAATCACCGAAATTTCTTGTCAAAGACTCAAAGATATGCGTACAAGTTTAGTGCAGAGTCAGGAAAAGCCTCATCAACATCAATCCCTCCAAGGCAAAGATGGCTACGGATGATGCACACAATTATCACCAACCATCATCATTCTGGGATGATTATGAAAAGGAGAAACGTCAGATGGACAAGATCATGGTCGCATCAATAATTTCCCTATTCATATTCGTCTTGTTAGTTTTAATCATTCGCATATACTCAAGATGTGTCCTCCAGCAACGGCAGAGCGGGGCTCTTCACCAGCCGGGAATCTCCGCAGCCGCCCGTTACCATCATAATGAGTCTCCAAGAACAGCGGGGCTTGATCCATCGATCGTTGCTTCATTACCGAAGTTCATCATCAAGAAAGGAGACAGCGACGCCAAAGCTGTGGAAACAGGGGCCAAAACAGAGTGCTCTGTTTGTCTAAGCTCGTTTGAAACTGGTGAAATAGCTCGGAAATTACCAAATTGTGGGCATACATTTCACGTGGAATGTATTGACAAATGGCTTACTTCACATTCAACCTGCCCAATTTGTCGAACCGAAGCTGAACCCAGGCTGGGGTTATCAGCAATGCGACCTGAACCGAGAGAAGGTGTAAATATTGGTGTTCTTTATGATCTAGAAAGGCAGTGAATTTTTGTAGGTCTACTTGTCTCTGTTGTATATCAAATACCATTTCACTATGCCAATTCGTTTTTAACGATAGAACTGTAAGGGCTTGTATTAACTTCACAAAACCTAGTATCGTACTCACTCTGTTCCAAAAAAAAAAATAAAAAAATTCAATATTGAGTTTCGAAATTTGTACCAAAACTAATACGAATCTTATAACTTTAAGTACAAATTTGTAAACTCAATATAGATTTTTTTTGGGGCAGAAGTAATATAAGTTTATCAGCTCCTATTCTAGTCTAATGTTCATTTCATTGCCAACTTGTATAATCGCTTCTTTACTTGGGAGCCCAGACTGCCAAAGCATGTTGTTTTATTCCAATTCGTCAATTGTTTCATTTCTTTTTTATCCGCTTTCAGTTAACTATGGATCTATTATACGAGTTTCTAAGACTGTAACCTGCTGTACCGTAAACAGAACAACCGAAAAATGCGATTTGTGTAATATAATTGAATTCTTCCAGAAAAAATGCTTAGGCTAGGTAGTCTCTTGATTTGTAGAAATTAGGTTTTGACCTCTTTATTGTATAGAGAAAAAAAAAAAAACCATACAAATACAACATGCTTAATACGATGAAAAGCAAATTGTTGGACTTTTGATTCAAAAGGGTTTGCATCCGGATTTCTTTTCAGAAGGCTATTCGTGGGTGGTGTGGTGCCTCTTTGTCTAAGGCTTCAAGAGCCCGTTAGTTTGACCTTTCCATAGGATGTCCATTTCGCACGTCTTTGTTTAACATTCTTTTTGTAGTTTGTTTATAACATTTTTAAAAACAAGATTGGGAAAAATATAATTCAAATGTCTCACAACATAATATTTCGTTAAATTAAGCCAAGCTGCAACAATTGGCGGATTTGATGACAAATTTCTAGCAAAGTGGCACGTCTATTTCATCAACATGCCAATCATGTTACGTAGTATATCTTCATTTCAAGTACTTATTCAGTCCTAAAATAACAGTTTTGTTTGAACAAAACTAGAAGACCAACTCTCCATGTTTATCAATTTTCCAAAGTCAACCCTTTGTCTACCTTGTCATCAACCAGATCGTGTCAAAGTAAATAAACTCCAATACGAGCATAAAACCAAAACAAAATGCCAAGAGAAAAAGTCTCGAATTCGAAATCACACCGAGATTTCTTGTGAAAGACTCAGAGAGATTCTTAGAAATTTAGTGGGACAAAAAAAGGCCTAATCAAGATTTTGCACAGAGTGATCTCATAGGCAAGATACTAGCGCATCGAAGATGGCTTCTGATGATGCACGCAGTTTTTCTAATCCACCATCATCATTCTGGGATGATTATGCAAAGGAAAGACATCAGATGAGCAAGATCATGCTCGCTTCAATAATTTCCATATTCGTGATCTTCTTCCTAGTTTCAGTGATTCGCATATACGCAAGATGTGTTCTGCTGCAACAGCCGACGATCACAGCAGCCGCCGGTCAACAGCCTAATGAGTTACCCAATACAGGGCTTGATCCATCCATCGTTGCTTCATTACCGAAATTCATCATCAACAAACGTGACAGGGATGCCATAGATTTAGAAACAGGGGCAAAAACAGAGTGCTCTGTTTGCCTAAGCTCGTTTGAAACTGGTGAAATTGCTCGGGGATTACCAAATTGTGGGCATACCTTTCACGCTGAATGCATTGACGAATGGCTTACTTCACATTCAACTTGCCCAATTTGTCGAACTGAAGCTAAACCCAGATTGGGATTAATATCAATGCAACCCGAACCGAGAGAAGGTGTAAATATTGGTGTTTCTCGTGATCTTGAAAGGCAGTAAACCTTTTGTAGTCTAGTTGTTCTTTGTTATGCTGTATCAAATATTGCATGTGTCCCAAAATTATTGTCCAATTTAGATTTTTCTTGTACTTCAATTTGTACTAAAGGTGAAAATTCAAACTGGACAGTAATTTTAGAACAGAAGGAGTAGGCTTATTTTTTCCTCTTCAATTTGTAAAGATCCATAAACATAACAAAATCTAGTATTGTACCATTTGTCCCGTAAAAATAGTGAATATTGTAAATTGTTAATTGTGCTAAAAAAAGAAATCAAGATTTACCATTTATAATGTAGGCTATTTTCCTTAAACATATTACATTGTATCAGCACAACTACAACATAAAAAGAATTGAATTTTCAACATATGGCAAAAAGTAAAAATTAGGCTGTATATTATTATCTTCATTTACGTTACATTTGTACAGAAATATGAGAACTGTTGTTATACCGGATTATCTGTACTTTCAAAAGCTTTTGTCAGTGACAATTTCTAATCACCCTATTGGAACTATAGTGGGAACAGAAGTAGTGAAATCAGTTCGCCTCTTTATTGTCGCCACATCTTCTGTATTTCGTCCCTTTCGTTAAACATTAATCCCTCCGTCCCATAATTATTGTCCAGTTTGAGTTTTTAGTTTTAGTACAAATTGAACTAAAAACGAAAATCCAAAGTGGACAATAATTTTGGGACAGAGGGAGCATTACATTGACAGTTGGAGTAAGAAATGAAATTTCAATACTTTTTGTTCGCTTCTGATTGCCTGATTATGGACGACAAGTTTTGAATGGTAGTTGGAGGAAAATTTTAAGCACATGATTTGGAAGTTTATGCAATTATACGGCAGATATACATATTTCCAGAAATGAATGGGGAGGCAGGGAAAACCCAAAATTGTAACATTTTGAAAGCAGATGATCAACCTGCAGCGATACCATTACTAAAGATGACGATCACAGCGGTCTTTGCTTTTTGTGTGATTCCAGTTTTAGTTCTGATATGGAAAATGGTGAATTGGGTCTGGATTAAACCCAAAAATTTTGAGAAGCATCTCAAGGAGCAGGGCTTTAATGGGAACCCTTACAGATTACTCATTGGGGACTTGAAAGAAATCACAGCCTTAAAAAATGAAGCCTATTCGAAGCCGATTGATTTCTCCGATGATATCATCCCCAGAATCATACCCGAAGCTTTTCACCTAAGCAAAAAATATGGTATGATTGATTTCCCCTGGTTTGACTAATTCTTTGATTCCTGACTACATTTTTTTTTTTTACTTCATTCATGTTTTGCTCCCTTGACTGCTAGCTGTTTGAATTAAGTCCTTTCTTAAATGAGTTGAAGGGAGGTCAGGGATGAATTTCAGAGTAAAGTATCAAACTTGAGTTGTTTATGGATATGTTTGTAATCTCATCTTATGACCCATTGCTCGCTGAAGTGGATTCATTTCTTGTAGTTTTGGAGCTCTCAAAGTCAAAGCTGCTGTTTATCAGTAAATTTCTTCCAAGAACTTGTTTACACCTGAAGTACCATGCGGTTTACGAGTTTCTAATTTCAAAAACTTCAGCTCAAAATTTACCCAATTTCTCTATATATCCTTCTGTGTCAGTGTCTACATGATGGTGCACTGTTGATGTTCCTGTATCCTGATTTTGGTTCGCAGGAAGTTAGTTACCACAGAGATTACCCAATGAAAATTTTGGCTGATATGTCTGTAGTATGTGGTTGCCTGATTCACTCTTCTTTGAATGAAAACATTTCTGTAAATTGCAATTGCTCATTTTATTAGCCGAAAAGGGAATAAAAGAGATGGATTCTCTCTAGAAATTGTCTTATATTCTGAAGCACTCATTTGGAAGCCTTGAGGCAAAGGTTGTATACATTTTATAAACGCCAAGAATGCAAAAATCTGGCATCTAGGAGATGGTATCCCCTATCCAGAATGGGAAAATAAAGCATATAGAAGTTTGAACTTTTTCCTAAGTCTTCACATCTGCTTAACGATCATGAAGCTATTGTGTTCAGTTTTTAAAAGCGGTGAAATCTTGCAGGAAAGAATTCGTATGTATGGTTCGGGCCACAACCAGGAGTTCATATCCAAGACTCTAATATGGTACGGGAAGCTTCTCAAGATGTCAACCTCTTTCATAAGCCTAATGTTTCTGAATTTAGCAGATTGATCACTCCTGGACTTGGGAGCTACAATGGCGATAAATGGGCTAAACATCGTAAACTTATTAACCCAGCATTCCGAATGGAGAAGCTTAAGGTTTGTCTCTCTATTTGAATTTGCTTCTTATTCCACAGACAGATTTTGAAATGCCATACTTTTAGGCTGCAATTTTAATGTCAACTTTGAAATTTTTCAGAAATAGCTTCTGTTTTATTCCAAAAACATACTCTTTATTTCAATAGCATGGTAGATAGATAAGTAATCATATGAATAGAAGGAGTGTTTTAGTTTCTACCATTATACCGCGACTGACGATGCTTTTCATGATCTGCCATCTCCTTCTTCACTTTTGCCCCTTTTTACCAAAGAACATGCTACCCTCTTTCCATGCGAGTGCAAAAGAAATGTTGCAGAAGTGGGAGGAGATAGTCTCACCACAAGGGTGGTCTGAGCTAGATGTTTGGCCGAGCCTTTCAAATTTATCTTCTGACGCGATTTCTCGCACTGCATTTGGCAGCAACTATGAGGAAGGTAGGCGGATATTTGAACTACAAGAAGAACAAGTTGAGCACTGTTTCAAGGCTATATGGTCATCATTCATCCCAGGATGGAGGTAAATCGATTTGTCACTTTCTTTAATGCAGAAAAAGGAAATCTTATATGCAAAGTTTTTGTACTTTTTTGGCTATCTTGTGTTTACTGTTATTTTTAAGGAGGCTTTCAGGTTTTTGCCAACTACAAGAAACAGAAGAATGAGGCAGATTGAGAAGGATGTTAATGATTCTATTAGGCACATTATCAATTTAAGACTGAATGCAGTGAAGGCCGGGAAGTCCTTTGACGATGACCTGCTGGGAATATTACTTGATTCTAATTCCCAAGAAATCAACAGGCATTCGAACAAAGACTTTGGTATGACTATCCAAGAGGTCATTCAAGAGTGCAAGCTATTTTACTTTGCAGGACAAGAGACAACCTCCGTACTACTTGTGTGGACAATGATCTTATTGAGTAGATACGAAGACTGGCAGACCCGCGCTAGAGAAGAAGTTTTGCAACTCTTCGGCACCAACCAGCCAGATTTCGATGGAGTAAATCGCCTTAAAGTTGTAAGTGTTTTTTCGGTACTGACAGGTTTTGTTGTAGTACCGCGAGAAGTGAATCGTGCTAATCATCCATTAGGGGCATCATATCTTTTAGTCCATGACCTTCAAAATGCTCTCTATTAAGTGCCTCAGCTTGACAAATTGTAGTGACTTTTTAACAGGTAAATATGATCTTACATGAAGTTTTAAGGCTTTATCCTCCATTGCCAGTCAATGCAAGAATTAGTACAGCAGATGCTAAATTAGGAGATAAACATATTCCTGGCGGAACTTTGGTGTTATTTGAAACGTTGTTAATGCATTACGACCCTGAAGTATGGGGTGAAGACGTGAAGGAGTTCAAGCCAGATCGATTTTCGGAAGGAGTATCAAATGCAACAAAGGGTCAACTTGCTTTCTTTCCATTTGGAGCTGGACCTCGCATTTGCATTGGTCAGAATTTCTCAATGTTAGAAGCAAAATTGGTGCTGGCAATGATCCTTCAGCGTTTCTCTTTCGAACTCTCACCATCCTACGCGCATGCTCCTCGCTCGATTTTCACTCTTAAACCACAGTATGGTGCTCACTTGATTTTGCGCAAGCTCTAGTTTGGTCTGCTTTAAATGTTCCCGTTCTCTTTTGGCTTTTAAGGTTAAAATTCTTAAGATGGATAGTAATGACATTTTAAAGGCCTCATTCTGTGCTTTAAGTTGGACCATGTATTCTTAAGATGACAAGTGGCAAAATGAACACTTCAAAGTTCCTAGTTAAAGAGATTTTATTGCATTTTTTCTGATTTTTCCCTTATTTTTGTTTCCCTCTGAAAGAAATTATTAAAAAAAAAATCTTAAAAAATTGAGTGGAGCCACTCTTTTGTAAGCAAGTCAAGATAAAGATTGATGAATCTAGAACAGAACACAAATTAACCGACCTTCTGGACTCCCCACGTCCATAACCTTAAATATGGAGGGAAAGGCTTACGTTTTATTCAACGGAGAATAGGCTTTTGGCATCCTAAAAATGGAAACCATAGCAACAGTGTTATCTTCTTGTGTGATTCTTCTTCTATCTGCTTTAATATGGAGATCGTTCAACTGGGTTTGGTTAACACCAAAGAAGCTCGAGAAACACCTGAAGAAGCAAGGTCTCCGAGGAAATCCTTACAGGCTATTGTTTGGAGACTTGAAAGATATTTCAGCCTTGTTGGAAGAAGCTCACTCCAAGCCAGTTAACATTTCTGATGATATCGTCCCCAGAGTTATACCTCAATTCCTTGAAACAATCAAGAAATATGGTACTACTATTATGTCTAGTCATTATTAACTTTGCTTGATGATTCATTTAGTCCTTAAATTTCCAAGATATGATGCAGAATAAAAATTGATTGACTCATCTGATTGTACCATTTGTGCTATTAGATTCTTATTTTTTTATTTTTTTATTTGGTGGTTTTCCCTTTTCACTGCCCATTTTTTCTAACCTGGATGAATATGCATGGGGCAGAAACAGGGGAAAGGTGGAAATGAAATCCGTTTATGAATGAAACACTATCCCATTTCCTCCGAAAAATTGTTGAATTATTTAGTTCTTAGTTCACTTTGTTGAGCTGTTTGGTACGTACAGAGGAGTAAATTTTTCATAGTGTGTAAATAAGCGTTTGAATTTTGGCTTAGGTGATGGTGTTTTGCAGGTAAGAAAACATATATATGGGTTGGACCAAAGCCGATAATCTTCATCATGGACCCTGAACTTATAAAGGAGGTCACCCAGAAGATATATCTCTTTCAAAAGCCCCACATTAATCCCTTGGCTAAGTTGTTAGTTGAAGGACTTGGAAGCTACGAAGGAGACAAATGGGCTAAACACAGAAAGATAGTCAATCCAGCTTTCCATGTCGAGAAGTTGAAGGTTTTGTTTACTTTATTCCATTTATTAGTCTCTGAAGTATATTGAATAAAATAAGCTGAAGAGTTTCTGTGATTAGTATAGTACACTATAGCCCCTGAGAAAATAGTCTACTTTATTGAATTGTGCAATCGCTGGCTGAGAAAATTTTGTACTTGATTGAATTATTTTTGGACGAATGGTGTGTTTGATATGAATTTTGGCCGGGTTTATATTGTTCTAGCTTATGGTTCCATCATTTCGTACGTGTGCTCGTGAGATGTTGAGTGAATGGGAAGAGATTTCTTCGTCAAAAGCATCATTCGAGCTGGATGTTTGGCCATCCCTTCAGAATGTAAGTTGTGATGCGATTTCTCGAACAGCATTTGGTAGTAGCTACCAAGAAGGAAGGAGGATTTTTGAACTTCAAAAGGAACAAACTGAATACTGGTTCAAAGTGATATTTTCAGTATATATCCCTGGATGGAGGTAAAATGTTGTTATTTGAAGTAAATTTTTAAGTCTTTAGTTCGTTCCTGGATGAGATTGAATTAACGTAATTACGTTAATCATGGCAGCACGAATATAACTGTCTTTGTTGTTTGCTGGATTTTTATGCATTTCAGGTTCATGCCTACTAAAACTAACCGAAGAATGAAGCAAATTGCAAAGGATGTTGAAGATAAGATTATGGAGATCATCAAACCTAGAATAGAGGGCATACAAGCAGGGGAAGCCTATGATAGGGACTTGTTAGGTATGCTACTCGAATCGAATTTTAAAGAAATCGAAAACCATGGTCACGACTCTGCCATAACTATCAGAGAGGTAATTGAAGAATGCAAACTGTTCTATTTTGCGGGACAAGAAACCACCTCTGTGCTGCTTGTGTGGACAATGTTTCTGCTTAGTAGGCACCCTGACTGGCAAGAGAGAGCAAGAGATGAGGTTTTGCAACTCTTTGGCAATAAAGAACCCGATTTCGAAGGACTAAATCACCTCAAAATTGTAAGTAACTTGTACAAGTCTCCGTGCTTAATGTCCAGTGTTAGATGTATCCTTAATTTTACCTTAAACTTTGAAGTAAGGATATCCAACTTCATTAATATGCTTTACAATTGAAAGCGGTTTTTGGCTCAGGTGACGATGATACTATGGGAGGTTTTAAGGCTATACGTGCCTGTACCTATGCTTACTCGAACAATTGCTGAAGAAACCAGGTTAGGAGATCTATCTCTCCCAGCTGGAGCGTTAGTTTCATTACCGGCAATGCTTTTGCATCGCGACCCTGAAATATGGGGGGAAGATGCGAATGAATTCAGGCCGGAGAGGTTTGCAGAAGGCGTGTCGAATGCAACCAAGGGACAGGTAGCATTCTTTCCATTTGGATGGGGACCTCGTATCTGCATTGGACAAAACTTCGCAATGTTGGAAGCAAAATTGGTTTTGGCAATGATTCTGCAACGTTTCTCCTTCCATCTTTCGCCAGCTTATTCGCATGCCCCCCGTTCCATTATAACGCTTCAACCTCAGTATGGTGCTCACTTAGTTTTGCAAAAGCTGTAGTATGGATCATATTGCCTGTGTGCCAACTCTCTGTGTCTCATCCATACACCTATTCGATTGAGAAGTGTACTTTTTTTCTAGTTTCATGGTAAGAATCATGTAATAGTACCATTAGATAGAGAAATTTAGTCATTTCGTATCATTTCTAAATACCTACTCTTTAATTTGTAATCATTAAAGGGACAAATAAAAATAATTCACTCCATTCTTAACAATTCATGTTTTCTACAGAACTATATATATGTAACAAAGAACTGCTGAACCATATTCATAGTCTCGTCATGATTTTATTGAGATGTATTCCTTATCCCAAAATAATAGTTTATTTTAGGTTTTCATTTATAATACAATTTGTATTAAAAATGGATAATTCAAACCGGATAATAGTTTCAAAATGAAGGGAATAGTTTAACATTCTTATACTTTTAACTCCATAAATATAGTTGAAAAACAAACGCTCGTGTTCAATTTTGTGTAAGTTTTAGTTTAGTGTGAACTAGTGTATGGACAACAGCATAAAACCTTGGAAAAAGGAAATACTGATTGATTGTATTATGGTAATGGGTCTTTTTCATCTTCTGTTGACAATAGTAATTGGCAAATGCAAAGGGACAAAATGGAATCAGCCTGCGTTTTTTCTTTTCTTAATAAAACAGACGTTATATAAAAACGAGAGAGAGAGAGAGAGTTATACCGAACTGATTAACTGCTTAGCCAACATGCACTACCTCGACCTCACACCTAGAGATCTTAAAAACTTTACAATAGTCAAACATATTCTTTAAATATAAAATATCTCTAACAATATCTCTAACCTCAATAAGCAAACCTGATTGCCTTATTTCAAGCTCAGTTAACAAGCTGCAGTCCGTATAAACCTTGCAGAATTGAACCTTCAAAGCGAAAGCGTCCCGCAAAGCGTACAACAGACCCAGAGCTTTTGACTGAGTGGCGGATACATATGCAAACCCGATTCCATTAGAAAATACCTTTTTACCTTGCCAATCTCGAATTTCTCAAGATGCAGCTCCGTGACAAACATTACGCAGAAAAGAGCCATCCAGATTGACGAAGCCGGGATTTGTACCGCTGATGGTGGAACTCCGATAGGGTTTCGGTGATCTGCAAAAGAGAGCCTCGAGAGTTTCACGAGGGTAGACACTCCGATACTTAAGTCAATAAAAGGGTTATGTAAAAGTGTATGATTGCTAACTGGTGCTAGAGATAGTATACCTTAATTCTGATATAATCAACCCTATTTAAAGGCATGAAATTACCTTGTGGATGTCCGAATCCTACTAGGTTTCATATTGCTAAACCGCATTCACAAAGTCGGTTGGACTGTAATTGGCAGATAAGCCGATCTGATAACTCGTGATGCAGATGGACTCGTCAAGTGCCCCTATCTAGTATTAGTTATACTAAACAAATAAGACTTGGCATAGAAATGTTCTAACCTGGACTCGGCCCAAAGGATTTGGACAAGTCACGTCCCAAGATATGTGTAACCCAGAGCCCAAATCGCGTTGACCCAATTTGAAGAAACCTTGAACGCGGGCGAAGATCCGACCCGAGAAGGCGACCCGTTTCAGCATCCCACCTAAACCATTAAAACGCACATCCTTAATGGGCACGTTCCCCAAACGGTGGCCAACAACATCATTACTGCCCCAATTTTTGCTGCAACGACAGAGACGAGAGGGGGCATAATGGCTTTTATACTATCGAGAGAGAACGAATCCGGATTTTGCATCTCATTCATATCCTAAATTGAAAAAATCTTTGAGAGATCCCTTTTTCACAGTACCCCTGCTTATCATCGCCGGAACTGTTCTCTTACATCTGTCGCTGGAAAGAGATAATATATGCTGCTGTCGAGGACTACTACTACCCCGGGAGGCTATAACTCAAAAGGAAAGTGGGAATCGATTCCAGTAAGTGTCTAAGACCTTTAAACCTTGTTTATTGAATATAGATTCTACATTTTTCTATACTTGAATATAGATTAGACCTCTTGCTGGTAGAGATAGCACGAAACCCAAATTTGAAGACTGTGTCTGATTTTAATCCACCATAAACTCTGCCTAGAAAGCCAAGACTGTAGCTGAGAAATACAGTATCCCCTTAGATGTAGAACCTCAAGCCCCAATAGGTAACGAGAGGACTAACACTCCACCAGAGAGGAAAATCACTATGTTTGATCGTTTTATGTTTCTAGAGCTTAGATTCCTCCTTTTCCCTCTGTTCGAAGAGATTGTCCAATATTATAAAATTCCACTTGCTCGATTCACCCCAAATTTAATATCATATGTCCTTGGATTTGTGAAACTGTGTGAATTGGTGAATATAAGACCTCGATTACTCGTGTGGAGGTATTTTTTCAAGGTCTGTGTTCCTTTGACCAAGTTCAAGGATTTGTATAACGTCAAGAAAAACCCAAAATCTAGTGCCATACAAATTGTAAAAGTATTTGATGGTTCCTACACCGAATTACTTGTATGTGAAAGCACCGGGGGATTTCTATCTTCCTTGGGATTATCGAGAAACAAATGATCTTGACGTGATAGTGGACGATTGGAGCAAGACTGATAAGAGCAGAATCGAGAAATACAGACCCGACATCGACACCATGGAAAAATACTCCAAATTTATCCTTTGGACTGATGTTCAATATTACATTCTCCCAATTCCTGTCGAGGAGAAAGAAGGTACTAATCTCTCTTTTACTTTCTTTGTTTAGGTTATATCGTCCAGAAATATTGGATTGTTTGGTGACGCCAAACCCTTTGATGTTAAAAACTTAGATGACGAGGGGTCATCTACCAAGGTCGAGAAGAAGAAGAAAAAGGTGAAAATGTTGATCAAGGCGTCGGATGTCGAGGCGAGAAAGAAGAGCAAACAGGACCACGCCATCGAGAAAGAGAGTATTGTTGACAAAAATGAGGTGGTTCCACCTATTACCAAGAACACCAAGAAAGCTGTGACACAGCAAATCAAGCAAACCCGCCCCACCGAGGAGATGGATTTCGATGCCAACCTTGGGGCCAACCTGCAACACCCCCCCCCCGGTAGAGAAGAACAAAGAGATTTCTGAGTAAACTGTAGCCTCTCTGGGAACTTCAGCCGCTGCCATATATCACTTTGATGAGTCCACCATTGAATGCCCCATCCTCGAGGAGGATGCAACGAGTATGGCAGAGGAAGATAGCTTAAAGCTGGTAAGTGTATCTTGTTTTCAATCATTGGTCTGTGTTTGAATTTTCTGTCTTTGTTAATTCTTTAAAATTGATAACCATGGACTGTAGATGAGCACTGCGATGATAAGCCTGCTACTCCGCTCCAAGAATATGAAGAATGACCTTGCCAAGGCGGAGGTTGAAAAAAAAGAAATCAAGCAGGTGAAGACTGCCCAAGAATATGCTTGGAAGAAGGAGCAGCTGGTGCTTGCTGCAAAAGAGAAAGAACTGGCCTCATTGTAAGCAAAGTACAATGAGCTGGAAACAAAGATGAGAGAATATGGGGAGTCCCATATCTCCAAGACTGATCTCCATCATTGGCTCGTGGCCTTCTGGTCTAGGATGTTGCCGTCCGGTGGTATGACCAGTGTCATGCTAAAAATAAATGTGATGCGGTGAAGGATTTTGGTAGCCATGGTGTCGCAGTGGTTGCCTCTGACAGGTTGGAAAGTGGCAGAGCCATCAATGCTGGCTAGTTGAAGCAGTTCTTGAAACCCAATTCTTGACGCACTGTGCATGAGGAGATGGAAAATGGACTTATGCACCTGAGTAAAGACCAACTTCCTTTGTTCAACGCCCTGTTGACAAGCCGTCGTCACACTAGTCAAATATTAATTACCTACTTAATACAATTACTAGTAGTAAAGCAGAAAGTAGGGTCGATACCTACAGAGAAGGTTACCAAGTACCGGTTAAAATTATTTCTTATTATTATTTAGATTAACAATTTATCAATTTTTAACTATTCTAAACCTAAACCTAACAATTGCAATTATTTAAAGATATAGATAAGTAAAAGAAAAAAAACCTAGGGCAAAGGGTTCACCAACCGACTATTCAGTTTAATTTAATCTATAGATATGTGACTTTCGACTCTCATTAATCTCACGACAATTCACCAATTTAAGAATTATACACTCTTGTGTCATAACCCTCTTAATTAAGCTAACCCTATGACTACTCTCGTGACTATAGGGATTAATAAATGCACATTAAGAACTTTAGAATTACTAGTCGCAAAGGCGGTGTTCCTACTCTCGTGGCTCACTATCTAAGTTTATTATTCCTATAAACTAATATTAGCCTTCCACTCTTGCTACTTCAGCTAGCACCTTAAAGCATGCAAATATTGATCATGTATTCACATGGATGAAAAACAAGAATAATAGATATTAATTAATGAAAAAGTCACAATCATAACTTAAATTAAATTAAATAGTACGGTGGCTATATCCAAAACCCTAGATTAAATAATTTAGCTACACATCATCTCAAAAATAAATAAAACAAAGAAACCCGGGAGAAATAGGCCAAAAGTTGAGTCTGAAGTTGATCCAATGCTGCTCCGTTCCCCCTCCGATGATGGTAGTGGTAGCAGAACTTGGGGTTGTGTGGTGTGGAGTTTTGGTGCTGATGGCGTAGTGGCGTGAAGTTGAAGGTGATGATGGCGGCCGAATAAAAGGTTTTAGATCGGTGTGTGGATATGGTTTTGTTGCATGGAGTCAAGGTGGGTGATTAGACTTGGATGATGGTGATGGATGGTGATTAAGGTGTGATGGTGGTAGAGAGAGATGGAGGCTGCTGCGCGGTGATGTGGAGAAGAGGAAGCAAAGTGGAGGTCGGCGGAGGTGGGCTGAGGTGATTTTTTTGTTAAGTCTCTCCTAAAAATAAAAACCTAATCCTCCTTTTATAGGCTTTTGTCAAATCCTATTTCTTCAGTAATAAGAAAGTTATTTTTTTTTTCAAGTCAATTTAAATTAAAACTCCTCCAACTCTTCAAGTGCTTCAATTTCTTCCTTGTCAATTTAAAAAATCTTCAATTCTCCATTTGAGTTGCTTTTATATTCAATTTAGTCCAAAAATTCAACAATTCCTCCATTTGAGTACAAAACCTACAAATAAAGATAAAATCACATAAATAGCATATTTTTACTCAATATATATTGCAAAATCACAAATTAGGCATATAATAAATAGGTAAAATATAACATATCACCTGTGCAGTGCCATAGTCAAAATGGGTTCACCAGCAGAAATAACCTCATTCCCAGGTGATGTCTCGATACCACTTACAGGGAAGCCTGGCGAGGAATTGCGAGTGCCGAAGCTACCCGATAAGTGCAGTGGAATCGAGCTGGCCTCAGATGACGACTCCTTTGGAAGAGGTAGATACTAAGAATGCGGGATCCAATGAGGAGAAACCCGAGGTCAAGAAGGAAGCTGAGCCAATGCCAAAGCCCGTCGAGGAGACCAACGAGAGCCAACCAGATGAATCTCAAGATCAGCAGGGCGCTGTATGAACTTTTCTTTTGTAATAGAATTTCTCTTGACATTTTGGATTTTATTGTAACACTACTCATGTGAGCTGTTTCGAAAAATTCTGCTAGGATTTTCTATATGATTAACTTGTTTTTGGTATTCCATTTCTTGGCTTGTTTTCATTGCATATGCTAGGAATCGTACTTCGTCCACCAAATTTTTTTGATGATCTTGGATGAGGACCAAGCTGAAAAAGTTCCCATGTATGCCATGATCTCCACCCTCGTGAGAGAGAGGGAGATTGTTCACAACATAAGGGTGGTGAAGTATCTCGAGAAAGATATCTTGGATGCCATCCAAGCATACAACATGCATATTCACTCTCGATTACTAAATAGTTTCAGAAAGAAGGAGGAAGAATTGCATCGACGTCTTCATCAATATGACCTGGATTATCAGGATTCCCTGATCCTAGAGTAGAACGTAAGTGAGGAGATGGCTCAACTGAAGGAAGAAAATGCTAAGCTGAAAGCAAGTCAAGGAATCGTAGTGTCTCCATAGTTCCTCGAGAAGTTCCATATTCTCTTGCTTGTCGAGAAGCAAATCAAAGTTAGGACTGAGCATTCTATTGCTACGATGGAGTTGCTGAAAAAGAGAACTCAGGAAGTAGAATTTCTCATAAAGCAGTGCTCCATCTTGCAAAATCTGCTGGCTGATCATGAGATTCCATTCCCGATCCTCGATGATCCGATTGGGGATGAAGATCCCAGATCAAGGACCGATGCTGAGGAATTTGTGATGAGAATTATTGAGCAAGACCTAGAGATGATCGACTTAAAGGACGAACTAAACCAATGTATTAACAAGTGTAAAATCCTCGGATTCTCTGGTGTCATTATACCTTTTCGCTATAACCCCAGTAAGGAATACCTTGTAATTTAGGAGAAGATAGATGTATCTTTCCTTGGTATTTATTCAACCCCGCACATGATGTGAGGGTAATAAAATTGATCGAGCCTTGATGGCTTCGTTATTGTTTATCTCGAGTAATGATTTGTATAGCGCTTTTATGTGGTCGGATGTAAAGTACACGAGTCTTTCAAGGGAACTAAGTACGAGTTCCTCAATATTATAATACCACGATCTACAGCGAGTACAAGGAAAGTTCCTCGGTTTTATGTCCAGATGTTGAATTCATGGCTCAAATTGAGGATGACCTTAAAAAAGGTGTCCATCTGGTAGACTAGTCAAATTAAAGTGTTGACACAAGTAGAGGATATTTACCAAAAATATGCAATGACTTTTATTGAGTAATTACCCGAGACCTGGGTTAGCATTACATATAAAGAAATAAAAACAACAAAACACATAAAGCAAGTAGATGTTATTAATTTAGCAGATAGCGGAAAAAGACTTAAACATAGAACCTGCGAAGGTTTTGGATGTTCCACCATAAAGGAAGGATGGTTTCAGTGTTGTCCATTGTCTGTAGGCGGTAGCTGCTGGATGGGGAGGTTTTGATGACTCGATAAGGAGTTTCCCAGTTTGCAAATAACTTCCCAGGAGCCTTTGCTCGACTTGCTTCATTCTTCCTAAGTACCACATCCCCGACCGCAAAGTCGGTGCTTTTGACTTGCTTTTTATAGTGCTTTCTAAGGATCTCCTCGTACTTAGCTTCTCGGACTTTAACGGGCACTTAGAGGTTAGCCAAGATTTCTTCATTATTGGTACCCTAGACAAAGTTGATGGTTCGAAGACTGGCAAGGTCGATCTCAACTGGGAGAACAACATCTATTCCGTACACCAAGCTGTATGGCGTTTCATCTGTCGAGGAGTGAGCCGTAGTGCGGTATGCCCATAGGACATGGGAGAGTTCATCGACCCAAGCTCCCTTGGCGTTCTGCAGTTTGGTCTTGATTCCATGCAGGATGGTTCTGTTGATGGATTCCGCTTGGCCGTTGGCTTGTGGATGAGCAACAGCAGAGAATCGACGCTCAATTTGCATCTCGATGCACCAGGACTTGAAAGGATCGCTCTCGAACTGAGTTCCATTGCCTGACACAATTACTTTGGGCACTCCAAATCGTCAAACCACATTTTGCCAGAAAACAATTTAACATCTTCCTTCCAGATATCGAGGGTAATGGTTTTGCTTCTACCCACTTTGTAAAGTAATCTACTACTATGATAACCCATTGATAAAAGAGCCGATGATGTTTGTGCCCCATTGATAAAAGGGCCAGGGACTCTGGATAGTGACCATCTCATGTTGTGGTTGTCGAGTAATGGGAGAGAAGCGCTGACATCTATCGCACTATTGCACAAACTGATATGCATCATTAAAGATTGTGGGCCAGAAGTAGCGTGCAAGGAGGACCTTCTTGGCCAATCCTTGAGCTCCAATGTGTGTGCCACATGAATCTTGGTGAACTTCCTCTAGGACATAGCCGCCTGCCTTGGGCTGATACAGTGTAGCATTGGTAGCATGTACCCATGCTTGTAGAGAATTCCATCCTTCAGAGTGTACTTGACGGCTTCTAATTTCAACACCCGAGCTTCAGGTTTATTGCTAGGCAGGGTCCTGTCTGTCAGAAACTGA